TCCTGTCTAACTCTTTCTATAAAAGTTTCATAGAAACCTGGAGCTTCTGTGGACTCATGCTGTTGATAGGTGGGACTCCAAGAAGGGTTCACAACACCACACATCTTCTGTATCTATGAAGTTCAGGAAATGCCCTGGTCTTGAGGGAGCCCCCTAGAAGTGGCTGGTGGCCCTGCCTCTGTGAGGTGCTAGCAGTTGCCAGACATGTTTCTTGCTAATATCAACTGAAAGGTGAGGGGGCAATATTTACAAAGGAGGGCGCTTCAAGAGTGATAGCTGTCTCTTCCTCTGGGGTGTCCTAAAAATGTCTCTGCGATTCTGCTTTCAGTACAAGGGACTTGTTATGTGGGATATGGCTGTTGTGAAAGGAGGGTCAGGGTGCTGCCGGCAGAAGCAATCTTGGTTTTCACCCAAGTTCTGCCGCTTCCTAGGAATTGTGTGTGCATAGGCACCCGGTGAGTAAATGCCTGGATATTATAATGACTCATCCCCCCCCCACCCACACACACCAGGAATCTATTCTTGAAATAAATATTTCATTGGTGTTGGATGAATGGTGGAGGATAAGGACTCCTGAGGTCTGCTATACATCATGGCAAATTTCCACTTGATTACCCTCAAATAATTTTGAAAGCTTGGGTTGGAAAGAAAGGATGATCCTCCCTCCCAAAGTCAAAGTGAATAATACCTCTTGGGGAGTCCACTCTTTCCTCACTTCCAATTACCTGATAGTTTCCTCACCCGAAGTGCCCAGAGTAAGGGTGGCAAAGAAAGATGCACACAAGTGCCACTGTGGCAGCAATCCCTTCCTGTCCCCCACCTTTGCTGGATGCAGCCTATTCTCCTTCCTCTGTATCACCTTCAGTCAGTGAATGTGAAGAGAAGATTAAATTAGAGTATCCTTAGAGGCCACCACCATCCTTCCCTGCTTTCTGCCTGCATGAATGCCCGCAAGCCCTGTGCTAGTCTTTTGGCTTTGGAGCTGAGATAGCTCACGTTAAAACCCGGAGTGACCTGTGATCCAATCTTTCCCTGCCTTCCACCACCACCAGGGGCAGATGGACTGGTGAGAGTCAACCATCAGCCCCTGAACTTACCTATTCAGACACACCTGCAGGCTAGGACGAGAATCTGCACTTTACAAAGTAATGGATTCAATATCTGTTTTTTTGGAGATGCTTTAAGACAAACTTGGATAATTCCCTCCACTTCCCTTCCCTTCCCTCTTTCTTCCTTTCTTTGAAATAAGGCTGTCTTTGAGGCTGAGTTGCTTATACACCTATGGGCTTGTCTCCAATGTGTTGGCTATTAAGATCTCTAAGTGACAGCTTAATATGTTTTTAAGAGTGAGGGAGCCAACAGCAATGCTTGGGGAGCTGTGTTTACGTTGGACAGGCTTCCCTGGGCCACGTGCCAGCAGTTTTGCACACTGCAGGAACTGGAGGTGAAGGCAGGAAGGGCTGGGAACAGAGGGGAGAACTAACCCAGAGGGCAGGAAAGCCAGGAGGGATATGACGTGAACAAGTGTAAAAAGAGAGGCCCAGTTGAACCTGGCAGTGCACTCAGAGATCCAAAGGCCTGACCACATCTTGACTGTGCTTGTGCCCAAGGACTGGCTCCACAGATTAGGTTTTCACCCCTCAACACAATGCTCAAGGAGCATTAAAGTGACAGGTCTTCTTTGTCCTCTTACCGTCCAGATTCCCACAATGGCCCCTTGACGTCAGGGGATTCTTGCAGAACCTATTAAGCTTCAGTATGCCTTCCCAGCAACTCCCAAGCAGGAGTTTGACCTCTCTAGTCTCAGTTTCCTTATCTAAAAGGTGAAAGGGAACTCCAGGTCCTCCTCCAGGCTGCATAGTGACATGCCCATGCCTGGCAGGATCCCTGTTCAGAAGGAGACTTCATGTTTGTGAGCAGATTTTGCCTCTGTTGGTTGAGAATGAAGGCGAGCTCATTGGTCATCATCCTGGCTTATCAAGGCTGAAAAACTGGCTTGGGTTCAGCTGAATGAAAGTTGGTTGCTCTTCAGATAGGCAGTCATAAATAGAAGTGCATCATCCATTCATTAAAAAACCCTCTCTCAACATCTATGTACTCACTGAATATGTCATCTCTGCCAAGAATAATGATGGGTCATTTTAATTGAGTGCTCATGTGCTGAATTTTTATGTACATCATCTTCTTTAATTTTCACAATCACTTTGGGAAGCAGATGCTGGTGCCATCTCCTCAATTTTCAAATGAGGTGAGGACACAAACTCAGAAGTTAATAAGCGTGCCCATAGTGAATAGCTAGTGTATGTTAGAGCAGGGATTTGAACCCAGATCTGAGATGGGAGAGGGCACTAGTGACCACTTTACAAACAGTAGAAGTACAAATCCATAATTATGGTTGGTTCCACCAAAAGTAATGGCATTTGGCCTTCAAGGCTCTCTGTTACCAGGGAATGTTGGCAATTTTACTAGGTTCAGCCAACTCTCTGTGCTAGGGAAGCTTCTCTTTCCTGGTACAAAAGCAGATGACAGCTTAAGAGCCATCAGTGGAGCATTTGGCTCAGTGTGGATGAGACACTCAGAAACTGCCACCCAGCTCATGAATGTTTGTGATCCCCACTGAGTCCCACAGCCTGTCTGGGATTTAGTCAGATGATCTCTAAGGCTACTCCAGTTTTGGATTTTTTGTTTCTCTCTTGAAGACCTTTTTATGACTTTCCAGCTGCTGGGGATTCCTACCCCTCCCAGTCCTTTGGGGTAGGACAGCAGAGACAGTGTGTGTGCCATTTTAAGCCATTTCTCATTTTGTAAATAGGTCCCTTGCAGCTTGAAGAGTCTATGGAATTGTTTCAAAATGTCTAAGTGTGATTATGCATCCTGAAGCCAAATGTTGTAACCACCCCCCACCGTTGCAGATTTACAAAGTAAATATGCAATAAAACTCTCTTCAGTGTGCTGTTGATATGACATAGTACTTAGTCACTGCTTTGCAGTTCAGTAAGGCGAGCTACTCCCCGGCTCCCTTCCCAGCCCTCCACTTTTTGGGTTGAACACATTGGATAATCTACAAAGTGGATCTTCCCCCCAGATTGTTGAAATCCCATGAGGTAAAAAATATCTACCCTTTCATCTCTATGCGCCACATTCTTTCTTTAAGCCTGTAATTGGATCTAAATGGAAAATAAACCCTTCGCAGACCAGGGAAATTGGCACTAGAGGGTGACAAGAAGAAGAGCATATTCCACCTTTAATTCAGATAATCACACTCTTCTATGCAAAGGAAAATAAAAACAAGACTTCCTCCAAGAGAAGAGAGGTTTCCACAGATTTCATCCGTACTTCATATGCCCACGAGATGATTGTTAAAATAGCCAGGAATCATTTTACTTTCCAGAGGACAATGAAACTGTCACCTTAGACAGTTTAGCCTTGGACTTTTTGGAGAAGCATGTTCAAACATATATACTACAATATACAAGTTTAAAAAAATGCATGTAATGTCACATGTAAAAACATGGGGGGGGCAGATACTGTCAGTGGTTCACTCCGTTCACTTCATTTCTTTAAGTTCTACTGTGTGTGGTGTGGAGTGCTGGGTTGGGGGAGAGATCATCAAGAAAGGTCTGCCCTCGAGGGCTTCAGAAAAATGTACAGACATGAGCGCAAAGCACACGTAACTCTCTAATAGGTAGAAATTGATAGGTATCTTCCAAAGGCCTAAAGTGTTATGGCAGTCCCTTAGAAGGAGAGATGACTTGATTCTGCAAATAGTCCGAGAAATGCAACGCGGGGCATGGTACATTCCAGAGAGATGCCCAGATTAAATGTGACTTGGCATACACATTCACAAGGATTCACTGGCCTCTGAGGAGGTCTGCGGCAGGTCATCTATAGAAGGGCACAATTCTAAGTTGATAAATGTTGTGCCTCTAAGGAAATGACTGTCATTTTGATTCTGATATTTTTTTTTCCCCTTATTCTACCTCACAATTAATGGCAGATATCTAAGGAGGACTTTGTCCTGAAAGACTGAATTCTCTGAAATCAGAATTTAATAATTACTGCTTTGTGTAATTATTACACAAAATGTTACCATTTGCTGTTTTATGGCTGTTTTGAGGGAGGTGGGGGTCTCTCAAACCTACTTTAGAGACAGGAAAACAGGCTCAGAAAAGTAAGTTGGTCAACACTGTGTGTAGCCTAAAAAATGCCCGGCCAGGGTTTGAATACCTAAGTCTGTGGCCTGATGGAGCCAACTCTCTGTGGCCCTGACCCTCAGTTCCTCCATCTCTCAAGCCTAGCTCGACTCTCTTCCTTTACTGTTCACGACTTTTTAGCCTCTCTCCCAAGTGCTTTCAGGTGAGCAACCAGAGGGTTTTGGAGCTACAGGGCACAGCTGCACGTTCTTCCTGCAGTAATTTACCCTTGACCTTCTGGGCTGCCAGCCAGCCATTCTAGAAAGGGGAACGTGCAGACCCTGGGGACAGAAACTAGTTCCCTTGTGCTAGAAATGCCGCCACTGCCAAAGCACCAACTGAAGAAATTGTGTGTGTGTGTGTGTGTGTGTGTGTGTGTGTGTGTACAAAATTGGTGGAAATCCACAAACACTAGGATAGCAGCAAAAGGGGAGTCTTCTCCTGAAAATATATCACACGCCCCCAATTCTCACGTTAACCATTCCAGAGGTGTCCAGGACCTGGGAAGCTAGGACTTCCCCCTCCACAAACCAGAGGAAAAAACGCCCTACAAGTTTTACCTTGATTCAGTCTTAATTAGCATCATCAAAGATCAAACACACTTTGCAAATACTTTTCATAACAATGGCTTAAAGAGTGGATTTGGGGGTGTGCGCCTGTTAGCTCACACAAGTATTCCCAACTATTTTTGTTTTCTGTTAAAGTCTTGGAATTTTACGAAGTTTTTTCTCTTTACATCTCTGCTCACTGATGGGAAGGGGAAGCAGGAAAAATAATCTGGGAAGCTACAGACAGATCTCTGCTCACCTTTTGCAAGCGTGGGCTGAGGTTCTTCGCCACTTTTGCCATCTTCGTCTGGGATGGAGAGGCAGCGCCTGGCTTCTCAGGCAGAGGCGCAAGGGCGCGCGGCAGCGACAGCGGGTGGCTGAATGGCCAGGTTCGCTGGCCCAGGTGGGGGGAGCTCTGGGCTCCGCTGGGCCCRGCCGCGCGGCTTTAATTGGAGAGCGGGACTCCCTCTAAAACCTCTCCAGCCAATCCACGTGGCCACTCACGCTGGGCCAGCCAATCCCAGCGCGAGGCTGCTCCCCTCCCTTTGGGTGGCCTCTGCCGGGAGGTTGCCAGCGGAGCCGAGCTCGGTCCTGACGTCAGTGCGGCCGCGGGCCCCTGTCTGCCCCGGGCGGCTCACATCTGTCCCCGCTGGGGCAGCAGGAATCCGTCCCCACGCCCTTCTCCTTTAAAGGACAATGAGCAGAGGGTGGGGCTGGCGACAGGCTGGGCGACCCATTCAGGTCAAAAGGGAGAGTGATCAAACAAGAAGGCGGAGGTATTTTTAGTGAGCTGGGTCCAAAAATAAATTCTGAGCAGTGTTCCCCTTGCCACCCTTTCTGCCTTGTCCCGGGAGGTGTGGGGAGGGAGGGGCGGAGGCAGGTGGCTTGCTGCAGCGTTAACTTGGGCTAACTTTTCCCAACTTGGGCAAACTCTTCAGCCACCGATAGAAGAGGAGATTTCGGATGAGGTTTTTTTTTGTTTGTTTTTTTTTTTTTTCCTTTTAAACTAAACATTTCTAAATTACTAAACTGTCTTCTTGTAACTTGTTTGAATGCAAATATTATCTTTTACTCCCCCCTTATTATGCGAGTAAGACAGCCCCAGCCTTATTTAATAGATGCCCCTGTGGCCTCAATATTGCCTCATGGATTATTAGGATAGCAAATAGTAGATGAGGAAATTTACCCTGAAAAAAAAAAATGAGATTGAAAAATTATCTGGGGGAAAAAAAGGGGGGGCACAGGATGACAAACTATAAACTAGGAAATTAGTAATGTCATGCAGGCTTGGACAAGCAAGTTCCACCTGATTTTAAGCATCCTTAGAATAAGGTACCCCAGTGACATCTAACATAACTAGTCTTATAAGACAGAATTAGCCAGGTTTCCCTTACTGTGCCATGGTATTAGCCTGTAAATCCACAACTCTGTATTGAGCCAGTTCTGCAAACTAGGATTTCCAGAGGCATTTTCCTCTCCTGTCTTGACAGTGGATTAAACACAAGCCCTTTATCCTGGAGAGAATATTGCTCTGTCTATGGTGAAGTGTTCATCCTGTAGCCAGTGGCAGTGTCTCCTGCTAGAAATCGGAACTTGGTGGGCTACAATAAAATGTAGTTGCAGGGAGACTGAAGAAAAGTACATCATTTATTTATTTTTTATTTATTTATTTTTTTGTACAGGGAATTAAACCCGGGGGGGGGGGGGGGGGCTTTACCTTTGAGCCAATTTCCCAGCCCTTGTAATTTTTTTTTTTACTTTAAGACAAGATCTCGCCAAGTTGCTGAGACTGGCCTCACACTTGTGATCCTCCTCCCTCAGCCTCCCCAGTTATACACTGAAAACTAGTTTTCAACACATCATCAACTCCAATAATCTCGAATCTTGATCTGGGACCCCAAATTGTGATTCCTTTTTTGACATCCTCCAAAGGGCTTTTTTCCATTTGTGATTCACCCTTTTCTAAGTTGAAGGGTGGTCCATTGCTCTCTTCATGAAATTTGGCTGTATTTAATCTTTGTCTTGCTTGCTCTCAGCTGTAGCATGCAACAGAGAGAACACAAGTTTTTTTTTTTAATATATTTTTTTTTGGTTGTAGTTGGACACAAACCTTTATTTTATTTCTTCGTTTTTATGCAGTGCTGAGGATCGAACCCAGGGCCTCGCACATGCTAGATGAGCGCTTTACTGCTGAGCCATAACCCCAGCCCCAGAGAACACAGTTTTTGAATGAATGGAGATTGGGTTCTTCCTTTTAATCAGCATGGAGCAGCTACAGTACGGCTAGGGAGAGATGGCACGGGATGTGGGAGGACTTGGAGGATGGGCTGCATGTTAAACCACTATGTCAAGAGACAGTGGCCAACAGAAGAAGCCTGCCCTGGAACAGAAGGTTTCCAGGTGAATAGCCCTAGAACAATAGCTCTGAAAGTGCATTGTCCTGCTGGAAGCCATTATATTTCACAGTATGAAAACAGAAGCCAGAAGTGTAACAAGGACGAGCTTTATCCCTTTCAAACTGGGCAAGGGCCTTCTCAGTGAAATCATTTCCTACTTCTTTCCCAGCCACCCTCCTTGCCCCATCTTGAGAAATCATTGTTCCACAGATTAGTGCTACTTTTTAAAACTTTCATGCTGTTTAGTTCCAACCACATGAACTCCCTTCACTACTTCTTATCTAATTCATTAAATTATGTATTTATGTAGCTAAATAGGAATGTATTTATTTATTTATTGTGGTACTGGGGGGTTTAACCAGGGGTGCTCTGCCACTGAGCTACACCCCCAGTCTCTATTATTATTATTATTTTTTTTGAGTCAAGGCCTCAAGAAGGTGCAGAGGCTGGCCTCAAACTTTCAATACTCCTGCCTGAGCCTCCCAAGTCTCTGGGTTTACTGGTGTATGCCACTGCACCTGGCTCCTCCTTATTTTTACTCTTAGCTCTGGGTAGGGTAAAAATAAGGAGGAGCCAATGATGGAGGCAGGTATTGTGGCTTCTCTCAGAATGTGAGAATTTGGATCTGCTGATATGAGAATCAGGAGCCTCTGGTTGGGGTGGTATATCTCCTCTTTTCTGCAAAAGGCCCTCCTGTGGGCAGAAGAGGGGCCCTGTGCTCTCTGCTACAGCTTGCTCTCAGCCCAGCTGCAGATCTGACTTGGATCCTTTAAACCCAACTCTCGACCCATATATTCTGGAAGTCCTATGGTCCCACACCTGCTTGGGCACCTGAACAAAGTATTACAATTTAGGATTATTCAGGAACCTGGAAGAAATGTGGGCATTGCACCACAACATCACTCTATCTCTGAGGTCATTTTTGCATCTTTTTGGAAGAAAAAATAGGGTCTATTCCAGATTGGAACTGTAGTGAGATCTGATTTCCCCAAGCTTATTTATTGTGGTGCTGGGGCTTATTGAACACATTCATTCATTCATTCATTCATTCATTCATTCATTCATTCATTCATTCTTTCTTTCTTTAAGCAGTTTTGCCTTAAGCCAAGCCCTGTGCTTGGTGCTGGAGACACCCCACAGAATCTTTCCCCTTGGAGAACACATTTGTCTGGTAACTAACATTGGGGCTCTCTGATTGTCAAAGCTGCATCTTACTGGAGCTTCAGGATGACTACTCTCAAGAGAAAACAGATACTCAAGGGCTTTCTCCAAGATTGTACATCCAGACAGTGGCAGAGCTAAAATTCACATTCTGGGTTTCTCATTCCAGATTGTATCCTTTCAACTGTCCCATGTTTCCTCCTATAATGATCGCAAAGCATAGATTATAGGGAAAAGACTGAGCCCCAGGCATAAGATGAGGCCATCCATTGTCATTAGCACCCCTGGGTTTATTCTAACTGGGATTTTTAAATGAATCACATGTTCTTTTAACCATTCACAAATTAATGAAATAAACATTGGACTGGGAACTAGTGTGGATTGAGTCCTGAGCTGAGATACAGCAACAACTAAGACAGGAAGGGTCTCTGCCCTCACACAGGTGAGGTATCCACAGGCTGATGTGTCTGAGAGAGAGTTAGGTCAGTGTGGCTGGTGCGTAACGAGAGTCAGGGAGAATGACCTGAGGTGTCCAGGAGGAGTTAAGCAGGGCTGGATCTCTGGATCCTATAAGCCACACTCAAGAGCTGAAACTCGTTCTGAGAAAAATTGTATTTTCTACATCAATGTTTTCTAACTGGAACATACCATGAGCCACATAAGCTGTTCAAAACTTTCCAGTAGCCACATTTTTTAAAAAGCCAACAGGTGAACTATTCATAGAGTATTTATTTAACCCAGTTTAACCAAATGCAGTCATTTCTACTGGTGATTGTTATAAGAAATTTCTGAGATGTCTTACATTCTTTTTTTCTTTGAAATTTGGCATCTTCATTCAAATCTGCCACATCACAAAAGCTCAATAGCCACATGTGACTAATGGCTCTTGTACTAGACAAGGCATTATATAGAAGTCATACAGTCGAATGACAATATCTGACCTATTATGTAACTCATGGCAAAGACACGAGGAGTTGTTGGTGGAGACCTGGCAGGTGACAGCAGGTGGAAAAATTGAGGGCTGGGAACTAATATTGATGGGTCCACTGTGTGTTTCCAACAGTGCACTGGGAGGGACAAATCATTTGCCCCTAGTTACTAGAAAGAGGCAGAACAAGAGCTTGAACCCAGGTCTTTTAGTGTTGTGCCAGATACTTTCATAAGTCCCCAATAATCATGGCTCACAATGATGACTTTGTTACAATATAGTGACCATGACCCAAGTTGCTTTAATGTGCCAATGAGTTACTTCTCTCTGATTAGGATTTGTTCTTACATATAGTATTCATTAAAAACACCTAACACTTAAGGGTAGATAGATATAAGTAATCCATGGACCATCTATTACATTTCAATTGACTGATATAAATATACATGAGCTGCACAATACACTTTATTTTGAATCAGCCTGAACCATATGTAACTGAATTTTTCACAGTTCAAGTTTTTATGTTTGTTTCTTTCCTTCCCCCCCAACCCCACAGGAACTTTAATTTTCGAATAACTTGTCTATAATTTCCCCCAGACTTTTGGTAGCCTCCTAGATCTGGAAAGCCTTTGTCTATAATACCAAAACATCTGGATAAAAACAAAACATTATCATTGCCCAGGTCTGCCTTCTAGTCTTTGACAGGGAAAGACACAAAGAGAATCTGCCTGTTATAAAATAAACAGTGGATTAGGAGTTGGAGCCCTGCATTTGGATCCCAGTTCTGCTAAAATTGATGTGGCGGCCCATCAACTTGCAACTTCAGGTGCCATATTTATTTCTCCCTCGTCTTCCCTGTTGGGCTGGGCAGGGTTTTGTGCTTCTTGCATTCATTTCCTACTTACAGCCATAGCTCCCACTGGTCTGGTGACAGCTCTGCCCCTTGACCCCTTCAGATCTCTACT